CCATAGTGAGATCTACACCCCCGTCATGCTACGATAGTGTCATATTAGCAAATTCAATCGTGCTTGAAATGATTTGCATTATACACACAAAGGTACCCCTGTTGGAACTACTTACCAACCACGCATGCGTGTTTCCGTGAGTGACAAATCCAGCACACAGCGATCTCAGGACGCCTTAAATCGACGCACTTATTTATTCAACTCATTACGCCTCTTCTTGATTTGTTGGGTGATAAAATTTCTAATGGCACGTTGAATAATACAGAAGGCGACACTTTGAATAGCATTTTGCAATCGGACCGAAACGCGAGGTTCGTGGATGCAAACAGACATCGAAAAAAACAAATCAGAAGATTTTGAAATGGAAGCTCTCATGTCGTCAAGCATTTAAAACTTGCATGTTATTGTCATATTGATTTGCAAAATGTTACAGAAGAAGTGAACTGTAATCTAAGATTTAATTTATTTGAAAAAAAGTTAGACTGCTGCAAACTGCTTACTGACTGGGTGGACCTGAAATATATAAATTAAAAATTAATGTGGCCTGACGTTGCGAACTTAGCAAGTTCTTCTTCAGAGGCTAAAACAGAAATGACAGAGGTACATACCTTTACATGGGGGTGCACACAAACATGCAGGGATGAAAGAAGAAAAGAAGGAACAAAACAAAACACAATGAAACTTACATATCAGCAAGGAGGATCACCACGAAGGGATACTGCAACAGAGAAGTTGAAACATGAAAAAAAGTAAGACTGCTGCAAACTGCTTACTGACTGGGTGGACCTGAAATATATAAATTAAAAATTAATGTGGCCTGACGTTGCGAACTTAGCAAGTTCTTCTTCAGAGGCTAAAACAGAAATGACAGAGGTACATACATTAACATGGGGGTGCACACAAACATGCAGGGATGAAAGAAGAAAAGAAGGAACAAAACAAAACACAATGAAACTTACATATCAGCAATATTTAATTTATTTGTAAAAGCAGTATTACAATCATGTTACACACACTTGGCTGGCCTTTCCCCTCTGGCGGAATGTGGCCGGCTGTATGAATACCTATTATATGAAAATCGTGTCTTTTTCCCCATCTACTGAAATCGTTGCTCTTGACGTCATTTATATGCAACAATAAATGGATAGCTACCACCGATCTTTGCTTCCAGTTGTTAAGAAGGATGTCATTTATTACTTTTTAAGTGCCAGGATGAAAGCTGCAAACACTTGGCTAGCCTTCCAGTCTGCTGGAATGACATGACTGTCTTTCTGTATGAATACATACAATGTCCTGTTTTTCAATTTATCGCTTTTAAATTCATAATTATTGCTTCAGTTGTTCAATGCTTTTCACTTCATTTATTATCCAAGATTGATTGGCAGTTACGGAACTGTTTGTTCCCATGCACTTGTTGTTGCCCTTCAAGACACACGTTGTACCGCCTTTAGGGGAGTATCTATTAAAAGGTCCATTAATTGACCCATAAAACGGCACTATTTCAAACAATCCTAAACATTCTAAAGGAGATACGATTGCGGTCAATGTCGTGCTCAAGAACACAAGCACTACACTGCGAAACTGCGGTGTAAAATTAACACTGTTTGGTGTGATATACCAACCGTCGTCTCAATTGCTACTGTTGCAATGTTTACGGTCCCCAACTGAGTTCAAGGGCGGATCCAGAACACAATTTTTTGGGGGGGGCCAAAAAAATGTTGGTCTCCCCAAAAAGTGGGTCAAAAAAATTACGGCGTGGGTTTCGGGGCCCGCTTAAGGGCCCCGAAAATTTTTTTGGATTCTAGATGCTCTGTGGTGCGATCTGAGGCAATTTCTGACCACTTTAACCAATTTTTTTTTTGAGGAAAAGATGGTGGTGTACTCATTGCCTGCCTTTATTGCGTTGTCACATAAAAAAAAAAAAATTGGTTTCGTTTTTTTTTTTTGGGGGGGCCCCCCTGGATCCGCCCTTGACTGAGTTCAGTCATCCAATGCTTGTAATGCTTGATGTGCTATTCCATTGAGCGCTGTGCCATTTGGCCAACGTTAGCTTCGCGATCATCGGACGTTTGTCTGGCCACTGGTCCTACGTTGGCATGAAACGTTGGACCGACGTAATTTGTCCAACTAAACGGACCAACGTTAACACCAACGCGTCGGCTTAACGTCGGCCCGACAATTTTTTTTTCAACGTTAGGCCAACTACGCGACGTTGGTGCGACGTTTCTTCTTTCAGCAAAGTTTGGGCCGACGTATTTCGACGGTTGATTGGCCAACGGCGGATGACAAATATTGGCGCGACGTTATGTGACCAACGTTGGATATCGTAAGCCAACATCAAAATTCATACCGATCTTCAACGTTGACAGGCCGACTTAAAAATATATATAGGCCCACGTCAAAACCATACCTATCGTCAACCATTCGGCAAAAGTTGGCAGACCGACGTCGAAGATACAGACTATTTGCCGACGTCGGCCCAACGTTGGCTGACTGACGGAAAATGTGTATATACCCACTGTTTTTATCAACGCCAGCAGAACATTGGCGGGCCGGCGTCAGGTTGCATACATAATTATTGCCAACTTCGGCAGGACGTTGGCAGGCCGACCGCGACCATTCTGCCGTTTTACCGACATTGGGACAACGCATCATTGCTATAGGGCGTATGTTCATCACCTATTGCCAAAATAGCCGTATGTCTGTTAGTCGACATATCGGCTTGCTTGGACGTGTGACCGAAGTTGGCTTGTTATTGTAATGTTGTATTTCCCTTGAGATCTCCTCTGATTCTACGCAAACGGTCAATTCAATTTCAGTAGTCTAGCTCGAATTCACTTATAAAGAAATTGGCGCCAAAAAGTTGGCATTACAAAAAAAGGTCTGTTGATCTCCCCTCTGATTACAATATTTATCGAGTTTTCGCCACCTTACGAGGGTTGAGTAAATCACTTGGCACGTGCTCCTGCAAGTCCGGTCGATTGATCCATTATGGCGTCAGTCACAAACGGAAGCGGGCAAATCAACACCCTGCACATCATTGGTGTTTGTATTCATTCGCTGTCTGCAGATATGACTTCTTCGATTAGCTGGAAATACACAAACAAAAACTGGCCGATTCATCGGCTCGAGAGTCATTAGATTCAGATAAAAAAAAAACAAGACAGCGCAGCGACGAGAAGGATCGCGTGAAGTGGCATCGATCCAATAAAAAGAGCGGTGGGGATCAAAGTGTACCCCAGGGTCAGAGCGAGTGAGAGAATCGATGCCCCTATATGCTGATCCAATCTTCGAGGGTTCTTTTGGCGGGAAGATTACAGCCGGCCAGCCAGACTTACTCAGCCGGGCGTTGAACTAACCTATCACCCTGAAGTATTACGCGCAAAGTCCCGCTAAAAGAAAAGAGCAGTCCCGCTCAGGCTCTTGGGGCGATACAGGCTGCTCAATTAAGGCGGACAAATACGTTGGTGGATCTGAGGGGGGGGGGGGGGGGGGGGCATGCCTGCTGATCAGGATTGTCACGTCGCGCCCTCACTGTTATTTTTTTCTCGCGAGAGTTAAAGCAGAGAATGTGAAAAGGTGTGGCTCACCAGCTCGCCCGTTTCCCAGATGAACGTCATTAGCGTTGAAGCTAAATTTCACAATGTACATATACACAATCGATATACGATATAGGATTGATACCCGGAGTATTTGAATAAGTTCAAGTTTACGAATATCAGATACTTTGTTTCTCAATGACTTTCTTTTCAACTCGTGAATAAAATTTAGTAACATTTGTTGTCATTTTTGTTTGGCACTGGTTCAGAGAAAACAAAAATAATACATTCCCCATTCGTAATTGTGGAGTTGACGGATAACGGAACATTTACCAATAGAGGGCGCAACTAGGGTTGTCTGAGGTTGGATCATTGGATATGACTTTGGTTCATCGGCCATTGGATGAATTGTCCTTTTGAATGGAACGTTACTCCGTCAACTTCCGGCTATAGATATTCTTACGTAAGCCAAGCAACGGTACGTTTCGAAAGAGTCTCTGTTTTGAATATGCCGTGGACTTGTTACATCCAAACGTGTTTCTGCCTTTTTTCTTGTTAATCAGTATAAAAAAAATACTGAGTTGAATACAATTAAACAGTTTTACAATATCAATAAAATCTTGCAAAATATTTCAATTAACGATTTCTGAATTGGTTAAATATGCAAAAAAATTAATCATATTGGCTCAATAAGATACCTGAGCTTAGTCGTACTCTCATTAAGAGTACATATACCACCTTTCTTTTTTTCATAACCTATGGGCGATATTGTTGTTTGTCAGCCCTTGCTTGATTTAATTACCGTGGAAATCACTCCGACGACTTCCGCATAAAACAACCGGGAATTAGATAAAAGGCTATGGTAAACGCAGTGACCTTTTGCGGCAATTAAATTGAGTGTTGTGGGGGAAATTGGCGGGGAAAAGTCCACGCAATTTACCGCGTGATTCAGACAGCTGGATGTACGACGCAGAGTCGTACCAAATAGGCCCCTTCAAAATAGCCGTGTTTTCAGCATATGGTTGGATGGAATGTCAAATCCTTTCGGACTTACGTGAACAGTATATCCTTTTTTTCCTTGTTGTTCAACTCTCGGAGTTTTTATTTTATTTTTAACTATATCTGATCGTTTGACAGTGACACACAATCTGAACTACTACCAGGATTCATCATTAAAGAATGAGGCCTATTGGTTAACGGCGGACCAAGCTAGCAAATAGCCAGCGGGGACGGCTCGGTCTAATGACGGCAGACGTGTACGAGTATACGGTCACCGAATGAACGATGGGGCCGTTAATAGCACGCAGCCGATCGTGCCTACCACGCGCCTGCGCGTGGCGAGCAGTGGCGGCGCTACTTCATCGCATCACCCACCAACAATCGTTGATGACAGTGCTGTATGCGGAGTACCACATATACCACAACAGTGATGTGCACCGTGGTACATAACCATCACAGGCAGGGACATTGCTTGCATATGCCGACATGTTTTGCGGCTAGCTGGAGGTTGCGAGCGCAGAATGACTGCCGACATATGACTTGATAACCAAGCCGCAAATGTTTTGTGTCGCCGCGGAGGAGAAACACGAGAATCGGTGTGTTTCCGCCCTGCGAGAGATAAGCAACTGATACAACTTCTAAGACCTGTACATCTCCTCCAAGTCGTCAGATCGTCTCAGATTCTTCTTACATCTTGAAGAGGGACACATTCTGTTTCCAAAATATTATTTGAAAAAAGGTATTTTTCAGAGTGACTTACGAATGCGATGGAGGCGACAGTGACTGAGACGTACACCAGCCTTGTTCCGATCAGCGAGACAGGGTGGGACACAGATAACAATGAGTCGTCTTCATCCTACTACTACGGGGGTCCGGATCCCGATGCCAATGCACGCCGTATCGCCGGTATAGTCATGGGTTCCTTGTACCTACTCATCACGGTGGCTGGTCTTGCAGGTAACGGCACCGTCATCTTTGTGGTTCTCCGCTACGCCAAGATGAAGACTGTCACCAACTGTTACATCTTGAATCTTGCCGTGGCCGACGCTCTCTTTGTAACTTTCCTGACTTTCCTTGCCGTTTCTAGCTTCCTGGACCAACGGTGGGTCTTCGGCGCCTTCTTGTGTAAAGTGGTGTTTGGCGTTGACGGTATGAATATGTTCATCAGTTTGTTTTGCCTGACGGCTATGAGCGTTGACCGCTACGTAGCCGTGTGTCACGCCATGAAATCACGCTCTTTCCGGAATCTCCGCGTGGCCACCGCGGTAAACTCCAGCATCTGGGTCTTATCCATCCTGGCTTCGATCCCCATCACCCATTTCACCCAGTACCACGAGGCAAACGAAGATCACCCATCTTACTGCTTTCTGACCTTCGAACGGAGCCAGGCTGTAGCCATGAGTCGGTATCTACTGATTTATTTCTTCGTGGTGGGGTTTGTGGTGCCGCTAGTCGTCATCGTCGCCTGCTACGCCAGTATCATGACCCGCCTGAGAGACATGAACAAGAAGACCGGTAAACCTGAGAAGTCACGTAAAGTCAACCGGATGGTCCTGATTGTCATCATTACCTTTGTGGTGTGCTGGTGGCCTTTCTACGTTTGCAGGTTCATGACAACCTACTGGGAAGACTTCCGTACGTGGTCGGGCACCTTGATCGTGACAGAGATGTGTATGGGACTGAGCTACGTCAACAGCTGCGTCAATCCCCTCCTCTACGCCTTCCTGAGTGACAACTTCCGTAAGAGCTTCCAGAAGGCGTGGTGCTGCCACAGAGACGGCAAGGGCGATGTCAGTCTGGTCTCGCACGCAAGCCGCTGGAAGTTCGGTAAGAGTGGCGGACGGGGTAAACCCAAGAAAAAAGGCGGCCGGTTCCGCTTGCACGACGATGAAGGGGACGATGAGAATGTCTCCGGGACGAACAATCAGTACCCACTGACGGCCACCGCTGTCACCTCAGCTATATCTGAGTCCAACTACCCAAGGAACGGTGAGCTAGTTCAGGTACAGATGGAACGACCGGCAATCGCTATTGCGTGAAACCAAGTGATCAAATCCTCCCCCGAAATTGTAAATAGAACTATTTTTCAACAAACTTGCATCGGCTTAATTTCTTCTCGAATTACTGTTTAAATTTAACTATAACTATTGTCTCAAACTTAACTATTTGTGGAAAACTGCACAGCTGAACAATACTTTGTGCATTCTGTAACAAAACTGAAAAAGCTATGAATACCACTGCAGTGACTAAACAAACGAACACAAACTCCAAAATCGAACTCCACAGGTGACATCCTAAAGCAACCAGTGCGTCCTCACTCGGGCAAACTTCTCGAACAGATAGTCAACGGAAGGCCCTTGAGATGGAGACCGCGATCCCTTTTCAAGCACGCCGGAGAAGAAACACACAACTCAAGTGGAGCGGGAAAGCCAGCATGCCAGATGAGACTAACGATTTACTGTCAGCCAGCGAGCAAGCGGACGCCGTCTGGGGTCCTCCACCGACGAGTATTTATTTTTAATTACCATAAACGGTCATCGGTCTAGGCTCAGACTCTCTCTCAAGCTTCTACGCTCTTGCTCAGCATTTAAATCGATTTCAAGTCCAAGGTTTTCCATCGAGACGAATAGCGGGGCCAATTTACCGACTTGAAATGAGGTTAGTAGTGAATATTGATATAAAACATAAAGCAACTTTATTTCGTCAGGTGATATTTAAGAACGGTTCCTTGCAATAGCTGTAAACATGAACCAGTGAAATAAAAACGAATAGTCAATGCCTGTATACTTAAGCATATTTTTGAAGGAACAAATGTTGAAATCAAAGACGTTAATCCCAATATTAAAGACTAAGTTTCAGGGTACAGATCCCTTTCACTTAATTTATCTAAAACAATCAGCACAGAAGTCGTTATTGTCATCCATGACACACTGTGGTATTTCGAGGGACTTTTCTTTCGCTTTTGTGAAAGGTGCAAAACTTTGTTCATGAGACTAGATTGCCTATAATTTTAGCTTGCCATATCTTACTGTGTGTTTCCGCACCATGAAGTATATCACAATCAAAGTATTGATATTGAGGCCTTCTCTTTATGATTTATGGTTTAAAGCGATTTTCTAACGACTCCTTATTCGGGGACGTTCGTTGAAGCTCTCACTGTTCCACGAATGCAGGGAGCAGCAGGACAGAAGCACCCAGATTATCTAACATTGAACTATGATCGTATAGCCGGCATTTGTACGACTTTAAAACTGCACTATCGAAACATTTTCCCGCGAACAGTAATGTGAAGGCAAACTTAAAACCCCTACTTCTCTGAACAGTAAGTTTTATCATTGGTGAGCCTATCGGTCCTTCTCACGTACAGCTATAGCATCACCTGTTAAGAAAATTAATTGCCCTTGTATTATGTTGCATGAAAATTATTGCGGCGTTTGTCTTGCCCATGGACATTAAATATCCGAAATAGCCTGCTGGATTCGAACACAATGACCGCACACGTACATTTCACACAGTGTCAGTGAGATATTAGAGCTAGGGTTGTTCGAATGTGATCACAAATTTGGAACAAAAGTGATACCTTCGATCATATAAACCATTACGAGAATAGGTCAACTTTGTTTGAATAAAAACACGGTTGAACCAAGAAACTGACATGAACGGGATTCGAACCTGCAACCTAAAAATCATGCCGATACCACTTGGACTTGGTGTCCTTTCGTTTGTGAACCCTCGGACTAATTGATTCCCCCGTAAACATGACAATGAAAACGTTGACTTCACAAAACGGTCTCAACGCTACAGGTTTATACGGCAACTCATTACTTTAAACTGAAATAATGTGCGTTGCCATAGCAACGTTGTAGACCAGCCCGCGCGGATTTGTGACATCTGCCTTTTGAAACTGTCAAAAGTGGAGATACTCATGAAGCAAAAATATTGACACAGGCGCAGGGCAGGCCCTTGATTCACTTAAGTTAAAAAGAAAGAGAGAGATAGAAAATCAAATAGCGTCCTCAAAATACCATGCTGTGTTGCTGCACTTTGATCAAACACTCACGGCTAGGTATGGAGAGGCAGATTCATGACCTCGGGAATCAAAGGCGACATTCAGAGAATCGCTCAAAATTGAAATGTGTTTGCTGGGACGTCGCTGCTGCTTGTTATGTTCAAGGCTAAGTCTTCAAAGTGCATTTTGCCCCTTCTGATTTATTGCTAGATGTTCGTAAGAGTCATTCCTATGACACCCTCATATAAATAAATGGGTTCTTTTATTACATTTTGTACGTGCACCTGCTCAGGCAGAATATTTTTTTTCATATCAGTTCAATTTGACGCACGCTGTAGAAACCCACACAATCAAATGTTTTTTTTCCCTTTTTTTTTTTTTTTTTTTTTTTTAACAAAAAGGAGTATAAATTGTTTTAAGATTATATTCCCGACCTTGTCAATCATGATTAACAAACTGATGCAAACAAGTTTTGGATATTTTTTTTTCATGTTGATAAAAATTACTGACAGTCTGTTCCTATGCCGTTACTCGTTTAATATTCATTTCGGAAATCAAATGCTGTTAACTACATCCGCTCGTTCGTGAAATCAATACCTACAACGGATACATTTCATCTCAGCACATGAATTACGGTAAATGGAGACGTCGATAAGGTTTACATTGGAAAACCAAACAACTCCAGGATGGGCTAACATTTCAAGACGGTAATGTTCCAAATTTCTGACCAGACCTGCCGGCAGTATTTGTATATACCGAGACGAAGAGTTACTGTTGCCGTTTCAGAATTAACCTTTAAATGGGCCAGACAGTGTTTACTAGTTGCCATGGAAATGGCAGTGCGATAAATAAAACACAGCGACTGTTTACTGGCTATTCTTAAGCAGACAGTGAAACTGACGGTTTCAATTTAATCAGACCGGTGCTGCATCATTTACTACGCACTGCCTATACAACATTGCGGTTCGTTTTTAATTTTGGTAGTTCTTTTGTAATTATGTGTGTCAAACACAAGGCCGGGCTGGAGACATGACGCGGAATTTATAGCATCACGGTTCAGTAAGTCTTACATTAACCTAGAAAAACGTGCTGTATTTGGCTCAAAAGATCGGGGGGGGGGAGGTCTGACACAAAGAGAAGGAGCAAAAACGAGGTTAAAATAAACATGAATGATCTACTTAAAGTCAATGACAAATTGGATCTATAAATGGACACGAACCGCCATATTCCGTCTGTTGATTTTTAATTTCCTTTCAGCACAACGACAGGTTGTGTAACATCAGTACCTCGACTTTTGAACGTCAACATTGCATGTAACACCACGCTTAATCTACGTCGAGTAATTGTGCCAGCGAGGCTCAAGCGCATCCGAAGGAGGACAGAAAATTAGGCCAATTTTTTTCCCCCGTTATGAAAAAAGGTCTTTTCATCACATGGTCGTCTGACATTAAGCAATCGCGCAGAGCGTGCCACATTATCGTTTCGTATCGGTGTTCCTCGTCATGGGAATTGCCATTTTTTGAAAAGCTCCGCGGGTGTAAGAGCATTGCCTTGGGCAACCATCAATGAGTCCAGAATTCACTCCGTGAGGGCAATTTGTTCTTCAGGAGTTTGTAGTCCGCCCGTTTGCGCTTCATGATCATTATATATGAAGCTAGTTGACGGGAAATGCGAAAATAGCATTGTCCGGACGTTCGAGCCACTCAAACAATTATTGGAATCGCAACAAACAACTTGGACATAATGTTTAGGGGGAAGTGAATAATACCTAAAGAATTCTTTTTTTTGACAGGTAACTTGAACACTTACGAAATGCAAACACAAAGCGTTTCGATTAATTCATTCAATTTATTCTTATTCCATGAAAATACCACAGAAATGCAAATGTTTTATATCTCAGTACTTTAAGGACATTCAGGTAATGTTGTCTGGTTGGATTAAAACAAAATCAAAGTTGGCTTTAAAAAATGGACTACAAAGTTCAGAAATGCTAATATTAGGGAGTCAACCTATTGTGCTTTCAATCCTGGGGCTAAATCTGTTGTTAAAGGGGGCCTTATTTATGAAACCAAGGATAACTTCACAGCTTGAATCGATTGGTCTATAAATTACCTACTCTGAAAAAACTAGTCAGCACCACCTTACCTGTGCCGAGAAATATCCCCACCCCCCCCTAGTCCCTGGGAAAAGTTAGCGTTTTTCTGCACCTAACAACGCGCACCATGACACTTGAAGACGGAGTAGCAAATCTTATCAGCTGTCATCCGTGTCTTATTGAAGTCTTCGTGTTCTCACCCCTCTTACACGAAGCAGACGCTCGGAGGACTTGTCCCCGGGGGAAGACATCCGCGTTATGCATCAATCGCCGCCCACCATCGTCCACATACGCGATGACTTTCATGTATAACCTCGGTCTGATCATTCCTATTTCTTTTACTATTACGAGTACCATAACAGAGAAATGTTCCCCAGTCTGTTTCATGTTTTGAACCCCGAACTTCCAACAAATGTGGATGTTCAAACAAATATGCCGAATGAGCCAAATGAAGTAGATGATGATTTTCATGGTTGTAAGGCATATTTTGATAAACCTTTTTGTCTTGGAAGTCACTTTACCCTTAGTTTCAAGAGGTTTGGGAGGGCACATCTCTTAAAGACATTTAAAAACAACTTTTGCCTATCCCTGGCCAGACCCTGCTATCGGGATTTGTCTTTTATTGTTCAAAGATTTAAAATTGATGGATTTATATGGAATTTGAATGCCGGTAGAACTATAAATTTGAAATAAAATATGACCTGATTTTAATCTATTTGTGACGTCATCATGACGTCATTAGATACCAGAATTGGGTTGAAAATAGACGAAATGATTTCTCTAATAAGGTATTTGTGATCGTATTTTTCCGGTCTGCGGATTATTTGACCCATGCACCATCACCAAACTTGGCTGAAGTTTGCCTTAAAGAGTTTCGTTTCACGATCCAATTTTTAAAAAACTTTTAGTGATGCAAACCACAAGTAGGTTATAATGTTATTCGTGTAAAAAGATTCGGCGATTCGACACAGACAGAGCTGTGGAAATCAAGGCACCTGAACATTTCGCACCGGACCCAACAACATCATTACAGAGAAATCTAGGCCCGAACCCCTCGCGTTATCCAACGCGCTAGCTCTGTGTTTTCTCTCTTGTTTTATGGCGGGGTATCTTTTCATGGCACCGGGTATATCTTCACACGATCGTGTGAGTTCCTCTTCCCTAGGGGCCAGCTCTCGCCTATAATCCAACGGGTTCGGAATTGCTGTCAACTGTCAATTGGAAAGCAGGCTTTACAAAAAAAACACCCCGATTTGGCAGGAAAAGGATAATGACCGGGTCGACAAACGAGCAGTTTTTATTTTTCAAAAGCTTTTTTTTATGACCTTTGACGGCTATTACTTTCTAATCCTCATCAATGAATGATTGGAAAACGTAGATTGAAGCTGCTCGGGTATAGCTATTCTCTTAAAAATATCTTTAAAAATAATAAAAAAAATATCTGGCTCTACGATACGGTCTCGGAAAAATCCATCCCGTGGAAACATAGACAGCCACGCTGAAGTTTCTAGTTTCACGCCTTACGGGTGCGTTTTGCATTTTCCTTTCTTCTTGTTTTGAAAATAAAACTGAAGAATATCAAATATTGATATTAAATTAAATTTAAACATAAGAACTGAAACCAAAGAAGACCAGGACCTGTGACATTTAAGACTGACAAATTGAAATGTAGGCCTGAACAAAATATCATATTTTTATCGTTTGTTTTTTGAAGACAAATCAGTAATACGAACTGGGTTTGGTGTGACGCGCAAGATTGTATTTGTAATCAACTTCCTCAATTCTTGAATGGATTTCTTGTTGCTAAAAACCTTCTAAACTGACTTATTTATTCTCCTGACAGATTGACAGCCACGGACTGGACGTTACTGGACAAATATAGACCACTGACGTCACAAATTATAGTATATTGCTTTAATAAGTCTCTTGATGTTTTCACAAGCTCGATTGACTATGTGCCATAGATTTCCCTAAAGGGAAAGTAAAGAGCCTGGGTCCGAGGACGAGCTCCGAGATTAATATTTCATTTGACACAGACGAAAAGATAAGGCAGACGGACAAACGAACAGATGATTGAGTGACTATAGGTTTGGTGACAAAGACGGGAATATAAACCTATTGCGTTAAAAGGACGATAAAGGTAGAAAATCACTTTATACTAGTTCAGATTTAGGAATGGATGCATTCAATCTTATAGAATCATAATCTTAATACATGTAGAGAGTGTCTAGAATACATGGAAATTTTACGACGCACCTCGATTGTACATCACACAAATCCGACTTTGGTAAGGCACATATTGCAATTAGAAAATCGCAAACGCCGAAGGCCAGTGAACCGGCTTGGGCGCTGCTTGTGTTGCATGATTAAAGTGCAAAGATGACTAAGCTGCAGTATTTTTTGGTTGTACTTGCCAGGAGAAAATGAAATGTACTTTGACTTCGCTGTCTTCAAAACTTAATTTGTTTGGTGAAACGCATCAGTGTCTGTTCGCTGTTGCACATTGTGCACACAATGTGCAAATCCTAAGCCATAGGGTTTTTTTTAATGCACAT